GGGGAACCCGATGAGAGACTCGTGTGACGTTTGCGTGGCAAATCGGATGGCTGATACGGGCGTCGTGGAAAGCCTCTCGAGAGCGTCTTGAGAACAGTGCTTTGACTGTGCGGACGCCTCCGGGTAACCTGTTCAGAGACTCTTGGCTTGTTTTGGGGGTGATGGTGGAGCCCTCTGGTACCGTCGTGGATGGTGTGAAAGGTAACGCGGCGAGTATGGTGCAAATGCGCGCTCTTTTGGAGAATCACAGAAATCTTGCCTTTGCAGGCTGTTCTAGGAAGAATAGTGGAAACTGCGTGACACGTCCAGAGATGTTTTGAAGCTCGGTTGTGGCTGGAGAAGAATGGAACAACGAGAAGCAAGAGCAATCGCTCAACCAGACGGTTGCAGATCGAAAGAAGGGAAACGTAGAAACGTCGTCCAATCTGGAAATCACGGATCAAAAGATGGAAAGAAGTGAAATATTTAAAGAATCGGGTTCTGTGAGAAGGGATCGAGAGCTTGAAACATTAAATATTCAAAGATCTCTCACTCTGGGGATGTCATATTAAAAGGGTGAAGGTTTGAAGAATATCTCAATCCCGGTCTACCAGATTGAAAGGCTGAAAAACCGGTCAATATGGTGGCCCCGTTTTGAAGATTGAAAGGTTGAAAGAGTAAATTATGTTTCAGCATGTAACTCTTGCATTCCATGATCCGCATATTGAAAATTTATCAAGATCTCGATTTTTTTCAATTTAGGATCCCCAGATTGAGCGATACATCAATCTTCTTCTAACATGTCAAATCTTTCAAACCTTTCCAATTCGACCAGGCCCCTGTTCAAAATGACAAACCTTCATCCTCCTGATCCTCCTCCTCTCGCCACGCGCTTCTTATGTTTGCGGCGCAGAAGCCTTCTTCCCGGCCTTCGTCTGGGATGCCGCACCTTTACTGTCGGAGAAGGTTGGAAAAGTTATCGCCTTCCTCCTTGGGCTTGCCGCCGACCATTGGCTCTCCCCCTTCTCCGTTGATCAGGCGCGCTCCCCTAACCGCAAAGTGCCTGCTCGCAAATGTTCGAGAAAATATAGGTTTGCCTCGATGTAATGGGTCGTAAATCCTCCTTGGCGGAGCGGCCTGGCCATTTGCGAGTAGTTACCTTGCGGGTAGTGTAACGCGTTTGTCCAGTTGACGACCATCCGAGCCACGGGGTGCCAGGCGCGCGGAAGCGAGCCCACGCTTGCCGCAGCCAGTCCGAGCCATAACTAATCTCGGCATCCCTCGGACGTGTGCAATTGTTCTCGGCGAGGACACGATGGACTTCAAATAGATATGAATTTGGGTTTACAACGTTCTTGGATTATTGACCAGTGTCATAATGTCTCGCCCGGAACATTATGAACCTGGGTTTACATGTTCTGGGAATATTGATTGGGGTTCATAGCGTTCCCCCCGGAACATTATAAACCCTGGTTTATAATGTTCTGGGGAGACCGACCCCAAAAACATATTAACTTGGTTTCATAATGTTCTGAGAATATTGACTGGGGTTTACACTGTCCCGGGAATAATGTATTCGGTTTTCGTCATTCCGGAAAGATGATAATTATTATGTTCCCCTTAGCCCCCGGGTTTCTCACCAGGTTCTCCAGGAGAGAATAAACCCGGATTCGTAATGTTCCCAGATTATTGACCCCGGGTTAATGATTTGGGAATGATAATGGTTGAGCCTGGAGGGCGCTGTTTGGGCGCACGTTCTGGCCTGAAATAGCCTTTGGTTCATAATGTTGGAATATTAAAATTCGGTTGGTTATTCCCGAAAGATAATGATTCGTCCGGGGGCGGCTGAGCCCGATCCATTCACAGGACAATAATCCATAGGGTATCATCTGAAGATAATGAACCTAGGTTTTCATTCTTAGATACTAAACCAAGGTCGGCGAGGATTTCACACCTACCCTCCAGGAGGGCCATCGAAGAGCATCTTGGACATCGTGCAAAAACACGCACGAAATCGAAGCATGCACGGGACATGGACGTCCGAGCGATGGCGAGTCATGCGCCAGGGGGCGGGGAGGCGGACGAGCCGCGGCCCCAGAAGGCGAGGGGGAGGAGAAGGGGGGGAGACCGCCAAGTTATCTCGAGAAAGTGCATGGGCCGCCGGAAGTGGGGATTGGGATCGGATAAATTCGACTAAACGTAAGAGTGACCTTTCGCCAGAGTGACTTTTGGTGCGGGCTCAGTGGGGCCCCCCGATCGCCGAACGCGATGCGGTAACAGCGCCTTGCGCGCCCGGGTTTGGCCACCCCACGTATCCCGTTCAGTCGCGCACCAAAGGTCATTTTTGCCCAGGGTCCATGTTTCGTGTAGCCGACCATGGGCCAGACCCAGGAGGGCGCATGCGCCGATCCAGTGCCACAGGACGAGCCTGGCCAGGATCGGCGCATGGGTGTGCCAGTTTTGCGCTCCCAGAGCGCCTCTCGGCGGCGAGCCCTGGGGGGAAATGAAAAGGGGAAGGCCCTCTGACCAGGAAGAACGAGGATCACGTTCCGACAAGGATTTCGAGACGACTCCAGCCGTGGCGATGAGAGCGCCGTCGCCGACGCCGCCAGCGGGCCGCACGGTCGCCGCCGGCACCGCTTGCAAGCCGCAGCGGCGCCCCTCCTCGCGGTGATCGAGGAGGCGCAGACGTGGAACCGGGCGCGTGGATCCGCGGCGCCGCGGGCCCCGCTCCGTGCAGAATCAGCTCGCTCCGTTGCCGAGTCGGGCGGCAGCGGCGCCATGTCTCGGGGGTGCCTTCCTTCGCCGAGCGCGTTCCACTACTCGCGAAGTGCCTACTCGCAAACGTCCGAAAAAACACATGTCCGCTTCAACGTAGTTTGTCGTAGGTCCCCCGCGGGGGATCCAGGCCATTTGCGAGTAGTTACTTTGCGAGTAGTGGAACGCGCTCGTCGATTCCTTGATCCGCGGATATGGCGCCCATGCGCGCAATCCACGGAGCCCTAATCCATGTTAGCGTGCGCCCGACATGAATGGTGGGAGTCTTGGCCGTTGTCGGGCTCTCCAGGGCGTTCTTTGGCCCCCAGGGCCGTCAAAAGTCAGTTCGGTTCGGGATTGAAAGCTGGTTTTGAGGAAAGCCCCCGAAGCCCCGGGAGGCCCCAAGAGGCCCCAGGAAGCCCCCAAAAGCCCACAGGAAGCCCCCAGGAGCCCTCAGGAGCCCCCAGGAGCCCCCAGGAGCCCTCAGGAGCCCCCAGAAGCCCCCAGGAGCCCCCAAGAGCCCCCAAGAGGCCCCAGGAAGCCCCCAGGAGCCCTCACGAGCCCCCAGAAGCCCCCAGGAGCCCCCAAGAGCCCCCAAGAGGCCCCAGGAAGGCCCCGGGAGCCCCCAGGTTCCAGGACCCGTTTCCTTCATACCAGCCCTTCCTTTCTCCTTTTTCTTGTGTTTCGACATATTTCGAGTGTAGATGCAAGTCTCCTGTCTATTCGAAGGCCGCCCAGGCTGGGCTGTTCTGCTTGAGCAAGACGGAAGAGGAGGAGGAGGGGGAGGACAAGGAGGAGGAGGAGGAGGAGTAGGAGGAGGAGGATGGTGATAAGATGGTAATGGTGATGATGTTGATGATAGGTGAGGGTGATGGCGATGATGTCGATGATGCCGTTTATGGTGATGATGATGATGATGATGATGATGATGATGATGATGATGATGATGATGACGATGATGATGGTGGTGGTGGTGGTGGTCATGATGATGATGATGTTGCTGCTGATGATGATGATGATGGTGATGGGGATGGGGATGGTGATGGTGATGGTGATGATGATGCTTATTATAATGGTAACGAGAACGATGACAATGACGATGACGATAATGATGGTGGTGTAGATGATGATGATGATGATGATGATAAAGATGATGGTGCTGATGCTGATCATGAGTATGATTATGATCATTACAATGATGATGATGATGATGATGATGATGATGATGATGATGATGATGATGATGATGATGGTGATGGTGCTGGTGATGATGATGGTAGTGATCATGATGATGATGATGATGATGATGATGATGATGACTGTGACGACGCTGATTGAAATGATGATGACGACGTTGAGGATGGTGATGATGCTGATGATGACTGTGGTATTGATTATGAATATTACGATGCTGATGATGGTGATTATGATGCTGAGGATGATGATGCTGATGGTGATGATGATGATGACGATACTAATAATGGCTCATGTGATGATGGTGATGCTGATGAGGATGCTGCAGCTGATGATGATGTTGACGATGATGGTAATGATGACGGTGGTGATGATGACGACGATGCTGATGATGGTGATGGTGACGATGCTGACGATGATACTGTTGATGATGATGACGATGTTGATGCTGATGCTGACGATGCTGTTGATGATGATGCTGCTGATGCTGATGGTTATGATCGTGCTGATGATGACGATGACGATCATGTTGCACGTGATGTTCATGACGATGATTATATTGCTAATGATGATGGTGATGATGATTATGATGATGGTGATGGTGATGGCAATAGTCATAGTCGTGATCATGGTCATACTCATCGTCATTGTCATGGTCATCATGGTGATGGTGATGGTGACGATGGTGGCTATGTGGTTGATGATGGTGATGGCCATGATGCGCATGGAGCTCATGACGATGATGATGCTAATATGGTGATAAGGTGATGATGATGCTGATGCTGATGATGGTGGTGGTGATGGTGTTGATGATGGCCGTGATTGTCACAATGATGGTAATGGTGATGGTCATAGTCGTGGTCAAAGTCGTAGTCATGGTCATGGTCATGGTCATGGTGGTGATTGTGATGGTGATAATGGTGATGATGATGGTGGTGGTGATTAGGAGGAGGATGAGGAGGAGGAGGAGGAGGAGGAGAAGGAGAAGGAGGAGGAGGAGGAGGAGCTGGAGGAGGACGATCAGGAACTAGGCCCCCCTCCTTGATCTCGTGAGCCCGACGCCCGCGCAGGAGGAGCCGCGGGCCGACGCCGACGCCGATGACGGCGAACGACCCTTGGCCTTCGACGACCCGGTCGACGACCTTGACAGTCCCAAGTAGTCCCAGCAGGAGGCCTTCGGCGGTTCTCGGCGGTCTTGCGACCTGGGGGGCGGAAGAGGAGGCGAAGGGGAGGACGAAGAGCAGCAGGAGGAGGAGGCGGAGGAGGGAGCAGGAGGAGGAGGAGCGGGATCGAGGGAACGGGCTAACCAGAAGCGGATCAAAACTTCCGGAAACGTGTCGTCGGAGACCTGGGCCTTCGGGGCGCCATCCTGGCCTTGAGGAGGATCGCTGGCAGTTTCTCCACCGTCTGCCCAATCCCCGAGCCTCGCCCGACAAAACTAGGCCACTCAGAAAAGGGAGGGAGCTCGGGGACACACCCCCTGGGGGCTATTCGGACGGACCCCCTATCGAGAATGCACGCTCCTCCTTTGTGCACAGACGGGTTTAGCCTCAAGTGTTTGGCCCATTCGGGGGCCCCACACGGTCGGGGATTAGGACCACCATGCCCCTGTAGACGCGGGGGGGGACGGGGGGGGGAGGACGGGGTGAGGATTAGTTAGTGACTAGTGAGGAAGCGGGTGGTGAGGGCTAGGGAAGGCGGAGGAGGAGGAAGAGGAGGAGGGGGGGGGACGACCGGATGTGTTTCAAATGTATTCGGACTTTTTCTTGAAGTGAAAGAGGGGGTCTGCAACAGGAGGGCTTCAATGGGAGCTGAATGGCCCATGTATGCTCAGTGTATCGCTCATGTCTGATTGGGTACGATTAGCATCCAATGTTGGCGGTCATGGAGGGCCAGTCGTTCGTGCCCGCGCGTTGGGCTCGCGGGCAAACACGCCGTCCATCCATTATCGTTCATGCGTGCGGGCGTTCTTGCATATTCTGTGTGGGGGGCGGCGAAGTGGAGTGCAAGTGTGCCTTGATTGTGCGAGTGATGATCGCAAATGTTCCCAAACAGTAACCTGTCGACCCCCAAGACAGAGTTGGAATGGGTCTGGCGATTTTCCCAACATGTCAATTCACAATGTCGTGCTTCTTGTTGTTGGTTCTTTTTTTGTTTTTGCAAAATGTGAACTCACATTTTCCCTTTCCCCAAACTGTGAATTCACGTTCTGGCCCCTTCATACAGATTCCGAATCAAAATTCCACCATGTGAATTCACCTTTCCCTTTTTTCCAATATTTGAATTCACATGTTCTTTTTCCCCAAGATGTAAATCCACTGTTTGCTTTTCCCCACAATGTGAACTCACATTTTGCCCTGGCCTTCAAGATCCCCCAAACTGAGGCGCAGTGTTCCGCATGTCAGACTGGGTGGGCAGGTTTTGACACTCACCTCGCCGCTTTCGTTCATTCCAGCATTTTTTGTTTGCGCCCTCGGCGCACGTTGCCTTCGTCGCCTTTTCCCGAGCCCCCCGCCCCCTTGCTTCGTTTACCACCGAGTCTCGCGCATGGGCGCAGGCGGGGGGCTTCAATTCGTTCCCCGCAAAACAGAGCAATCGAGGATGTATCGCCCATGCATGGCCCATGGAGACACCATTGCCGGGACCCTGCGCCCGACCCCCAGTTTCACCCTCCAGTTCTCGAAGATTATTGGATGTCTTCTTGCCTCGGGAAACAGTCCAGCAGCTCCGCCTCACCCGGAGCGTTCTTGGGGTGCCGAGATCGTCCCGAGAGGCCGCCAGAGACCCGAGACGAGAGCGGGGAAGCGAGAGGCAGCAGGTCTTTTCAGACGGCGGCGGAGCTTTTCAGAAGTTCGGTACGATCAGACCGGGTACGGCAAGAATGGGCACGCAGACCGGCAGCAGTTCCTGTCCATGTTTGATAGGGTTCGCTGTCGGCGTTGTCGCGGACATTGCCAATTCGAGATAATAGGCCGCTTGCCCAACAACGGCCGCTGTCGTTGGGCATGGTGCCCATAGTTTGTGTACAAATTTCCTGGCGTCCACAAAAGCGTTCCGGTCGTCTGAAAATTTGCCTGCGTCGTCGGACAAGACCGAGCAAGCCCCTCAGAAGGCCAGGGGACTTTGGGGCTTTCTGAGTCACCCGAGAAGGCCCACCCCCTCTCAGCCGCCCGCTGGCTTTTGGGCTACACCTCGGCTTTCCGGCGGCCGTTCGACGATCCGGGCACCTCAAGGACGATCTCGGCGAGGAGGCGCAGTTGCCTGAAAGCTCCCCGAAGCCAGAAAACCGCCGAAAATTGGCGCAAACGTCTACAAACCTCTAGCCTCGAGCCCCTCCTGCCCTCCTCATTCTCCTCATTCTCCTCCTCCTCCTCCTCCTCCTCCTCCTCCTCCTCCTCCTCCTCCTCCTCCTCCCTCTCCTCCCTCCTCCTCCTCCTCCTCCTCCTCCTCCTCCTCCTCCTCCTCCTCCTCCTCCTCCTCCTCCTCCTCCTCCTCCTCCTCGCTCAGCATCCGTCCCGTGGCCCCTTCATCCTCCCCCCCATGGGCGCGACGCCGAGTTGTGACCCGAGAGCCAGGCTCGGCGTCGACATGCGCTCTCTCGCAGTGCGCCGTGGCCTCTCGGGCCCGCGGCGGGCCCATGGCGGCCCGCGGCGGGCCCCGGGGGGGGGCGTCTGATATCAGGCCGGGGTGAAAGCGTGCCCAGGCGGTTGGGCCCGAAATGATGAGGGGCAGCGAGGGCTGCGGAAAAGGGGCACTCAGCGCCCCTCACGTACCCTTCAGAGCCCCAGAGGGGGCCTCGAGGGTCCGAAAAGGGCGCCTTTCTTGCCCTCCTCCCATTGATCGCCCCCCCTATGGACTCGCGCCCAAGGCTGCCGGGTCCCCAGTGGGGCGTGGCAGTGCTCAGACAATCACCCCTCTTGGACATTTGCCCCCCGGACCCTCGGACAAGGAGGGGGCCGGGCCTCCAGAACCCCCCCAGGGGGGGTTAGACGGAGGTGTCCCCCGGAACCCCTCTCAGAGAGGTTTTTCGGGGGGGGGGGTCGTCTGAGACTGGTCCGCATGCCTTCAGGCCTTCCAGAAGGGGTCCGAATAGATACGGTCGGAGGATCGCGCCGCATCGCCGATGGATCGCCGAGGCGGCTCGATGTGGAGCCCGGTTTTCTCCGCGCTGGCATAGCCGATGCACCGCCGACGTCGCCGATCTATCGGCGATGCGGCACGATCCTCTGACCCCATCTACGCGGATCCCATTTAGGAGGGCTCTAAAAGGGGTGCCCAGGATGCCAGGGCCCTCTGAATCAGGACGTTGCGAAAACCAGAACTTTGACAGATCCACCTGGAGAGACCGAAGAGTGGAGGATCAGGGCTCGAGCGAAACTGTGTGTTCTGGCGAGTTCGTAGACCGTTTTCGTTATGCTTCCATATGGTTTTCCTTTGGCAGCAGAGGCAGGCGGAAGACATAAAGAGGGAAAACGAAACAACACGAGCATGGAAAACATTGTTTTGTTCGAGCCTTGTGGAGGACGTCTCGGCCCTGGCTGCAGTTCTCTCGGACGCGCCAGGGTCTTGGCTTGTTAGAGTCCCTGTCTAGGAGGGCAAGGTGCCCTGAGAATGGACCCCGAGGAGGGTTCCAGGGACGGGTTCCAATCGGCTTTCGGCCCCGCTCACCTTGTATCGTGCACTGAAAAAAAACGTTCGGTGGCAACTCATGGGATCTTTGTACGTCCTCAGAGTGCCGTCTTCAGAGAGTGGATTAACGTACGCTAGAATTTGGTGATCGATGAGAACGCGTCGACTCGTTAGCGTCTATTTCCGTCGACTTAGCGTTTATTGGCGTCGGCCAGCGTCGATGCTACTGGCCACACACCCAAGCAAGTCGACTGGGTAAATCTGCACCGGTTCCCTCGGCATTGGCATTCGAGTGCACATGTTGTACAGTCCCCAGGGGTGGGGTGGGGGGGACCAATAGTCCCGAACGGCTGCTGGAGCCGCAAAACTTGACCGAAATCCACCATGCGTCGAAGAGGGGGGCGAGGACCAGAGCGTGGAAAATCATCGCCGGGGGCCACAAAATGTCCCAGATCTGATGGCCTTCTTTCTACACTTCTTTCAATGCGCCGCCTGGCCCCCCCTCGTCCGCGCACATGCCTCGGGCCATGATGCGCCAACCCCCCCCCCTTTCTGGTGCTCCTCTTTAGCGCACCCGGGCGACCCCCCCGGCGGAAGGCGAGACGCGTCGCTCACGGCGAGGCTCCCAGGATCCCCCAGGTAGCGGCACGGGGTGCGAAGTGGTCGCGGTTCGCGACCCGGTTTGGGGAGCTGCCCTCCTCCACGGAGGCCGCGCGAGGGTCGGAGGATGCCATCGCTTCGCGCCATGCGCGGCGCGCGAAGTTTGGTGGCTTGATGCAGGTCATCCGGGGCATCGTATCGCATTCGGGAAACCTGATCAAGGGAGGAAAAACCACCAGGATTGGACAATTGCCGTTTACTGAACGGCCATGGGCGTTTACCAAACAGCCCTGCATTGTTCGATTCCTTCTTTGGGCGCGTTTACTAAACCACTTCGCGTGTCGGGTGGTTAAACATGGGGGTGGACTTTTTGATTCTACCTGAGGGAAGACAGGAGGCGTTGCGCATTCACGAGTGACGAACTTGCCCATTTCATGCCCTCGCAGCCTGGGCGCCGAGGCGGTCCCGTGGATCCGCGATTCCGTGGACACGTTCCGCGGGGGGCGTCCACACAGAGCAGCCTTGCATCTATGGGTTCGCGGCCAGGAAGTCTGGGCCGCGAAGGCGTGGATATCAGCATATCGACAAGCTATTATTCATGCGTGTAGTTGTCGTGGTTCAGCCTCATCTTCCTCCTCGTCTGCCGCGGGACTTCTCTGGGGGCCTCTTGGATACCCACAGGGCGGCCTCGGAGGCCTCTATATCAGCAGAAACATTCGGAGGTCCGCGCGGACTTCTCGGATCGGCGTTGGAGCTCCCGGGCGCACTCCGCGCGCCAGGGAGGTGGGTCCAGCGCCGATCTAAGAGAAGTCAACGCAGACCTCCAGAGGTTCAAGTTTATCGGATGGCCTTCGGCCCATCCCGCCACCATGCTGGGGTTGTGGGTTGTGAGTGTGAAGCATGTCGGATGCCCGAGGCCTCGCGGGGGCCTCTTGGCGGTAGTTTTGAAGCCTCTTGAGGACAGTTTCGGGGACTCCTGGAGCATCTGTTGGGCCTCTTGGGGGCCTCTTGGGGCCTCTTGGGGGCCTTCGGACTTTCGGTTCGTGTTCCTTCTATTGGGCTCCTTTTTGGGCCATCTTGGGGCCCCTTTTGGGCCGTCTTGGGCGCCTCTTGGGTCGTCTTGGGGCGCTCTTAGGCCGTCTTGGGGCCCTCTTGGCGGCCTCTAGAACTGTTATGGGGGCTCCTTGGGCCGTTTTGAAGCGTCGGAAAGCCGAACAGCCGACGACGCCCAAACCTTTCATTAACGTAATTCTAGCCCCTCTTGGGGGAGCTTCTTGGAGGCCATCTTGGGCGTCGTGCAGCGATCGTTCGGCTCTCTTGGACCGTCTTGGGGGCCTCGTGGGGCACCATTGGCCCGCCCTGAGACCCTCTCGGGCCCGAAGAAGTCACGCGGGGAGACGCGACAAGCCCCCGACCAGAATCGAGAAGCCCTCAGAGATTTCGCAGCTCCAAGACTCAGGAGGAAAAGGAGGAGGGGGAGGAGGAGGGGGAGGAGGAGGAGGAGGAGGAGGAGGAGGAGGAGGAGGAGGAGGGAGGAGGGAGGAGGAAGATGAGGAGGGAGGAGGGAGGAGGGAGAATCGGAGACGGCTAGCATGGACCATGACCGAGAGCTGCGTCCACAAGATTCTTCAGGAGTGAGGGCTGTGGCTCAGGGGGATTGGGCAAAGGACCTGAGGACACGGCCACTCTGTGCCCAGCGGCACGGTGACCGATGTTTTTCCCTTTGTGCCTCGAAGCACGGTTCAGCGGGGCTCGATGTATACACCGCGTCGCTTGGTCGGCCAGGGAGCCTGTGCGTTGGGCGAAGGATTCCGCTTTACGGTCAAGAGGTTTGGCTTAGCGTGTCGCTCCGCTGTTTCTGGTCCAGCGCGACTCGCAATCCACGACCTCATTCCCAAGCGTCAATGTCCCGAGCATTTCATGGCCGCCCGCCCCACGGAGCGGAGCGACACGCTATCCGCTTGCAAGGCAGAGCGTGTCACTGGGGCCGCCGCCGCGACACGCTATCCAAAAGTTCCTGACCGTAGACGCCCCATCGTCCCACAGGTTGGGCAGCTGGGGTGTCTGTACACCAGGCTCCTTGGCCGACCAAACGACGAGGTGTATATACCCAGCCCCTCCCAATGGGCCCGAGACGGCTACGAGAAGCCCAGGGAGTGTTGCCGCGTGCCCCGAAGAACAAAGCCAGGTCGGACGAAACCCTGAGATCCGAACGTTGTATATGTTCACACCAGGCGTTTTCGCCCTCGCAGGTCGAGGGTCCCTCGCAGATTGATCCCGCTCGAAAAATGGCGCAGAAAGATGGTCCGGGGCTCTGGTCGTGATTTTCACGATGCTGCATTCGTTGTTGCTACGTCGGATCTCAGGGCAGGGGAGGGCAGGGAAAGGGGGTGGGTTCGAAATCTGCTGCACGCAGCTGGTGTCGTCCCCGTCGCTCTCCTCGATACATTGGCGCCTCCAGCGCTGGAAAAAACCGGCTATACTAACACCCCTATCGTCCGAACCGAGAGGTCTGGATAATCATACTCTTCCAGAGGTCCTCGCGAATTTCTTGTGTCGGCGCTGCTGGGACCCCCCTGCGGCGCCTCTGGCTCCGCCCCTTACTCGGGGTCTAGCGCCGATTTAAGCAATCCGCGTGAACTTCACAAAGTTTATGCTGATGCGTTTTATTCTCTTAGGGGCATTTCAGTAAACGCAGAGGGCCACCAAGGCTCGGAACCCATGTCCTTTCCTTATGCATCCCTTTATACTTCAGCTCGTCCCTCTGTTCTCGCTGGTCGCTTCAGCTTCCTGGGTATGGAGACCGCGCGGCCCCAGGTCCCAGAGCGTGCCTGAGCTGCGCGGGTGCCACCGTAGGCTGCTTAGGTCGAGGTTGGACGTGCGGACCATGAGACGACGGAGAGAGAGAGAGAGAGAGAGAAGAAAAACAATAAAAATAAAACAAAAAAACATGCGCTGCGCATCTATATATATATATATATACAAGCATACATACATACATACATACACACATCTCTACAGAAAGGGACACATAAAGCGAGCGTGAGACAACTAGAGGGAGATAATGATTTAATGAGAGGCAACGAGAGGGAGAGAGAGTGCTGGACGGACAGGTAAAGAGAGCGAGAGTGAGAAAATAACAGAAAACAAACAACCCTTATATACAGAGAGAGAGAGAGAGCGAGATTGACTGGATAGCAAGAGGGGCGAGACAACAGAGAGAGAGAGAGATGGAACAAAGCTGGAGACAGGAGCAGTAGCACAAGAGATAAGGATATACAGCCGCCTGCGGCTCATCCCACCACCGTGCCAGCGCAACAGCGCGGCAGAAAGGATGTCCG